TATATATATATATATATATATATATATATATATATAGATGTTGGCAGCCCACGGGCTGACTGCTACAGTTTTAGCCAATGGCGCAGATTGAATCTGGGCTGATCTAACAGTCACAACTTTATTCTGTATTTGAATTTTTATTTTTTTTTTACAAATCAAAATCACTTAAAAATTTAGGCGTACATTCTACTCATCAATGCACACCTAATAAAATTATTAAATTTTTTTTTTAAAAAGTATAAATTGATCAAAATACCCTTAAAAATTTTCGGGGGTATTTGGTTACTTTATAGTTTTTGAATTTTTTTTTTAATATTTTTATTAGATTCTACCATTTTTTATGAATAGACGCTCAAAACTTCAAGTAATTTGAATTTGTATAAAAAAAACATGAAAAATTAAATACAAAATAAGGTCGTGACCATTGAATTGGACCCATATTCAATCTAGGCCGTTGGCTAACATTGTAGTTGTCAGCCCATAGGCTGATAATATCTTTTCCCATATATATATACATATATATATATTTATATTGAGTCATAAAATTAGTGCATATTGTTATGCATTATTTAGACCATCTATTTTAAAAAAAAATTATGTTAGGGTGTGATCACACTATAGAGCATTTTACAATTGTACTCAACAAATTTTGGATGCTTATATATTCTCATTTTGTACATGGAGCATTTTTTTAGTCAGGGTATTTTTAGTAGATAGGAAGGGTGTGATATTATCCACATACCATGTGACATCACTCATATAGAGCATTAAATGACTAATGTGATCCATGTGAGTGATGCCTCACCCTATATGGATGATTTCACATCCCTCCCAATGGCTAAAAATAACCTTACTAAAAAAATGTACCATATACAAAACAATAGTATATAAGTAGTATCAAAAAATTTGTTGATAAAATTCTCTATAGTTTGAGCACCCTATCATAACTTTTTCAAAACTTTAATTATTTATGGATCTGATCAATATACACCATTTTGGGAGCTTTGAATTTCATATTTAGATGTGATGAGGCAAATAATTTTCATGCCAATTCCAAGGCTTTCCAGCATTAGGCATAGTTTTGAGGTGTGCTTCTGATTGTTTCATATTGATACCTTATACAAACCTTGTTTGTATTTGATATGCGGTTGCGGAGTTTTATGGTTGAAAGTTTATTCAAATAGGTGATCCAACATGATAAGCCATTTTAGTTTTTTCAATCCCCTTAAAAATGTGAATATCACGTTGATACCCTTTTCTTTTCTTTTTTTTTGTAATTTTTTCTAGACTATCCTTAATAATTGGATTATCAAAATTCGAAGTTTTGTCAGGAAATCCTTAGCCTCCAGCTGGGACGTGTGAACTTCGGATTCTCAAAATCCAAACTTCTTTGAATAAAGCCTTAGCCTCTTGCAAGTATTATAACCACTGTCCAAGTAGTTTTACTAAGTAGTTTTACTAGAAATGTTAGACTTCAGACTTACAAAATCAAAATTAGAGGCAAAATCATTATTTTAATCACATAAAAATTATGTATGAATGCAATAATTAAATTAAAGCCCATTTAAAAAATTTCACTAGAAGATGTTGTTTTGATGTCCAAATATCCTCAAATTGATCATCTTGACATCAAAATGCATGCACATGAGATTTTCAAGTTTTCATATATTTGCTCGATCTATACTATTTTTGAAGCTTTGAATTTTATAATTAAAGAGGAAAACATATTTTAAAGCCATCACAGGGATTTTCAGTATTAAAACCATATTTTTTGACACTGTTTGAAGGTGGGCTCTAATTTGATTGTTTAGAGCCTCGGCTCTATACAAACAGCACCCTTTCTTAAATAGACGAAACTATATGAGGATATGCGTGTAAATTTCCCTTTTCTCAACCATGGTTTGGCCCAATAGTGGCATCTAAATGTGCCCTAAAGCTAACGAATCATAACGCAAATATAAAAAATCCGACCGTTGAGGGTATTTAGGCCAAAATTTCACTCATTCTTTCTTCAATGATTTTCTTCTCCTTCTTCTCTGCAACATCGTGTTGTTTGAAAACACACACACACACTCTCTCTCTCTCTCTCTTCCCTTAACATCGGAAGAATTAGAATTGCAGGCCTCCGCCTTCTTTATTTCTCTTTAAGAGTCCAAATTCCTGATCTCTCCAAAATCGAAATTGCAGAGGTTAAATTCCATTGCAAAGAATTTGGGTTTGAGGAAGAAGGAATTTTAGAGATGGAAGAAGGTAGCCGGGAATTTGATCAGTTCCAAGATCATCTTTGGCAAGAACACACCCTCGCTCTTCTTCATAACCATGGCATCGGCCAAGGTAACCCAATTTCTTTATTCTCTCGGATTTTGTAAGTCTTAGCTGATTTCCACAAATTTTCTTAATGATATTGATTTATTCGCCTTACTTTACAGGGTTACATGATCTCAGTCAAATAAAGAAAATCTGGCGCAAGCACAAGCTTCAGTGGATGCAGCGGAGGCCAATGGAGATTCCGGAAGTGATCCTGGACCTTCAGCGTGAAGAAAACAGAGAATACGCTCTCAGATGCCTAAGCAGTTTCCTGATTCTGGTTTCTCTCTCTCCCTCTCTCTCTTTCTCTCTATCTCTACCCATCTTATTTTTCTTGTATTTTGTGATAAGTGTTCTGATTATTGCCACAGAGGAGGGAATATGCTCTCTGATGCCTGAGCAGTTTCCTAGTTCAGATTCTTTTCCTTTTTCTTTTTTTATAATTTATATTTTGGTGACGTGGGTTTTGTTTGAATCAACTTATTGTAACAGAGGAGGGAAGATGATCCAGAAAATTATCAGCGAGCAGGCTTCTTCTTATTCAATTCTTGTGCGACCATGACTATCTTGTTGCAGGTCTTTCTCCAATAATTTCTACCTTTCCTTTGATTTTATGTTTCAATTTACAGTTTCTAATGGTGGGTGTTGCGGAAACAGGAGTTGGTATCTGCTTACTGGAAAATGGTGGATGGGAGCCTCACTGTAAGAGAAACGAGGCGCCTTGGCAATGTTCTCACCCTCTTTCAGGTAATCCAATTTCAATTTTGTTCCTTGTTCTTTTTGTTATTGTTTTTATTTTCCTCAGTGTTTCATCGGCAAAATGGAATTAATGAGTCAATAATTTCTGGGGTTGCAGAGTGTGGCAGCAAACAATGAAACTAGGCTCAAATTTGTGCAAGGTGAGAATCTTCTTTCCTTGTTCATCAACTGCTTTTTCCTGGAATGAATACTTCTGTTTTTTTAGCTTCTCTGTATCTCAGTGAAGCTGATTATATGAATAAGAAACACCTTACTCTATGAAATGCGGTGAATGATCTCTGTTGAAATTCCATTTAGATAATAATTACTGTGACTTATCAAATTAAAAGGAAGAAATACTGATTCTATTAGGAATTTGAATTTCTTATTTATCATTTTGAAAGTTTACAGATTATTAAACAATTCCTTGACCAAGTGAGGAGCTATCAAATCTTCCTCTTCAAGCTATTTTTACTCGCTTAGGATCCAATAATACAGAAGGCTAATTTGTTTGTCTTTATGTTACCTGATCTTTTTTGCTTTTCTGAATCCAGTGAAAGTTAAGGAAACATTTTCTACATAAGTGGCCGTTCAAGTTTATATATGTGAACTTTTTATCACTATTTGAGGGTTGAATATAATCTAATCGACTTTATTCAAATGCTCTAATAGTCGTGAAAAGTGTATATCAGCAACTGCAATACTCAATGTAGCTATAATAACCTGATGAATTTGGTTTCTTACTCATTGCGGTTGTATAAATGTTTCAGCTTTTATCCCAAACTTTCTGGTACCCCTTATATTATTCGAAAGCACTGAGGAGGCATATGAGAACATCCGTGGCATGTCCCTCTCTGTCATTGGAATCATATGCCAGGTAATCTCTATCTTCATATTCCATGCTGTTCTCTCAATAATCTGAGAGAGAGGGAGGATGCTATGAAGATGAAAAGCTTTTCCGTCCTTCAGCTCTGAATAAGAAACCTACTGTTTCCTTCTTAGGAAAGAGAACCTGATATCATTAAGTGGGCAGTTGATAACAATATTGTGGAAATTTGTCGACGGGGGATCCAGATTGGTGGTGAACTTTCCAAAGTGGTAAATTTAATTCCCTCCCACTATCTCCTTTCATTTCCAGCTAGTAAATTAATATCACCAGGCTGTTTTGTTTGGTAGATTATTACCACTACGTTCATATCATTCTGCTTTCTCCTATACCTCCATTTTGATTTATTCAAAGATTGACTCGCTATCACCGCCACTGATATCCATGTCAAGTTTGGTTTTCTTTGTAACTTAATTCCTGTACGTCCCTCACTGATCTTCTTGGTTTCCACTTACTGTAAAATATCCTTATTTGGCTTCATCTGTTCCATTATTTCTGCAATTCTCCCTTCCTTCTTTATCTCAAAATGAAGAATATACTGCTGCAGATCGCAATGCACATTATTGAAGCTATTCTGCAAGATAAGTCTGGGATTTCCTACATATGTAAACCTGAGGCTGATCATCTACTCAAAAACCTGCTGGAGACATGGGAACATATGGTATATTTACCATCCTTGCAAATCTACACCCTTGTATTTCATTATCAAAGTAAATTTCACACTTAAATTATATGCCAGAATCAGATACGAATTGCCATTTGAAAGGTTAAACCACGGGTTTCAGGTTATGGTTCTCTCTGTGAACAAAGACCACTCACCTCGTCTTCTCTTCCATATCATCAGGTGTTATGTTCTGCTCTGCACTGATACCAGGTTATTTACAATATCAGAAAAAAAAATTTGTTTCATTGCTTGGAGTTTGGTTATTCTTATGGGGAACTATCTAAATCATATGTATTTTCTTGCAGGGGTTTCAATATGCTAATCGATTACCTCCCTGAACCCATTACAAACAACTCATTTCAACAAATCACAGAGGTAATATTAGTTAGTTCCTGGCCCTCGCAACATAGTATTGTTTATTCAAGAATATCTTACAATTTATTTACTGTTAACTGTGAAACTTGTAGGAGTTTCCTGTGATAAGAAGAATGCTAGAACAACTTCTTATGAATACTGGGAAAGTAGTGGAAGTTCCTTTTAGCAGAAGAAGCAAGAGTAAGTATCCAGATCCAATTGAGGATAAGTTACCCTCCCAATACGCTGATTCTTGTACTTCTTTGGTGGTAGCCAATGAGATGATGCCATTGAATTCGATTGATCCAAATACTGAGAGTTGTTCCCTTGGAAATAGTAAGCGTGACTCTTCCTTACAAAAAGCAGCTTCCAAGGGCAAAGAGAACTGGAGTGATCTTTGGGCTGGGCTCCATGATTTTGTGCTTCAAGAGAAAAATGACAAATGATTTGTGAAACTTGCCACTATCTTATTGTTATGCATGCCTAACTTTTGTAGGTCAATCATCTGTGTCTTACTTCAAGAGATTTGGTTCTAGTCTTTTACCTTTTCCTCCCTCATACCTATTATATTTCTCTCTTCCTATTGTATTTCGGCTTTAGCACTTTGTCTTTGGAGTTTCTGTAATCAACTGTCCATCAGATGCATGTACAGTTTGAGCTTTTTATATTTGTATTGCCAAGTGTACAGCATGAATTTTTTTACCACAGCTTTGGTATAATAAGAACTAGTATGGCTTCCTTTATTTGCTTATTTAATTGAACTTTCTGTGATTCTTCAATGGATTTCAATTGGGTTCTAGGTAATTCAAGTTCAAGATAATTTATCAAATGCTTTTTTCATCAGTTTCATTGCAGCATAAACTACTGTTTGACTGTTATACCAGTTTCTAGACATTCTTTAACTGGTGTTTCTTGTTCCAAATGACCCACATTCTCAATGTCAATATTTCTATTAGAAGGGTTTGTTTTTTTTTTTTGATAACTTCTATTGGAAGGGTTTGTTTCTTAGTCATTATCATTAGATGAATAAGCACCCTTAAAAACCGGATTTTATTGTTCGAAAGATTTTGCTAGTAAATTTGCTTTGCATTTTAACCTTCTCCATTGAATAGCTCTTCTAGCACTGCACATGATTGTACCACAGTGTCTTGACAAATGACTAAGGCTTGTGGTATTTATATAAGCTAGAGTACACAGGTGAAAAACTAAAATTTTAGATCATATATGGGGTGAAAAATTAACTTTTGTCCCATTTTTATTCAAAAGGGCAAGTTAAATATGTCTTTTGGGGTGAAATATCAATGGTTTGCCATTAGAAGGCTTTCATTCATCTTCTACCACCACTTTCCCTTGTTATTTTAGCCAAAAATTTTTAAAATATGGATTCATGATTATTTTCTCTCCATAAACTTGTGCATAATTAGGTTGAGGTCATTTTGCCTCAAGTTTGAAGTTATGGAGATTCTACTGACAAAAGATCATCTTGGAGCAGTATTTGTTTTCAGCCATATTTGTGTTTCAAACTTGTAAATAAACATGCAGTAGGTTATATTGATATTCAGTAAATCAAGTGAGGAGTTTATCAACAAATTTTCAACCCCAAATACCAAAGGATCAGCCAAAGGTTATGCTGCCTACAACCAGAAATGACTCGTTTGATTCGCTAATTTGATGTTCATTATGGTATTAATCCATGAAAATAGCTTTCTCTCTCTCTCATATCTATATATATATATATAAATTTATATAGAACCGAGGCTCTAAACAATCAAATTTGAGCCTACCTCAAAAATTTCACTAGAAGAAGTTTTTTTGATGCCTAAACGCCTATATATAAGTCTTCCAAACGCCTATAGGTGAAAATAAACAGTGATTTCGCCTACCCTCATCATCGTCCAAAATTCATTGCATGGTCACGATTGTCCGGTAGTGTTTTATTTTTTATTTTTTATTTACATATTAGAATGACTTGAAATTTGGTGCGTGTGTGCATCTTAGTGAGGCACATCTAATAAAAATATAAAAAAAAATAATTCGTAAAAAAAACTGATCAAAATACGCCTGAAAAGTTTGAGGTTATTTTGGTCAATATTTTCATGTAAAATATTTTTTTGATATTTTTCGTTGATTTGGCTATTTTTTATGAACACACGCTCTAAATTTCAGGTCATTCTGATTTGTAATAAAAAATAAAAAATAAAACACTACTGGACAATCGTGATCGTGCTATGAACTTTGGACGGTAATGAGGATAGGCGAAATCACTGTTCATTTTTACTGATAGGCGTTTTGTAGTATCTTCTTTCACCTATAGGCATTTTGTAGTATCTTCTTTCACCTATAGGCATTTTGTAGTATCTTATTATTATTATTATTATTATATATATATTAGGAAAGGAACTCCTCCAAGCCTATACCAAGCTAGTCATGCCAATCCCAAGCCTAGAAAAATGAGGAGGGTTGTGCTAGGTTGCGTACAGGTATAAAACAATTTGCCACAGCTTGATCCAATGTTAAAGTACACTCATGTCACGGCGTTCCCCATAAGTGACACACTGTGTCAGCACCCAGGTAAAATAAGAAATGAACAAGGGTTAGCTAGGGTGTTCCCTATAAGAGATGCACTACAATGACGCTCTGTTGCAATGATAAGTAGGCAAGGTTCCTGTGCCATTTTAGACAAGCGTGGGTTAACAAACTAGTTTAAGAGAATATTTGTCGTCTTGCCACAAAATGTAGGAACATACAAATGCTAACATGTCATGGATGGAAATAGTGAGAAAAGTTATGGTGAGTTATGGTCTAACTGAATATATAACTCTTGATAGAGCGAAACAAAATTTGTGTAGCCGACCCCAAATAGTTGAGAGAAAGCTCAGATGATGATGATGATGGTAATATACAAGTAAAAGAGGTTGAGTGAGGAACGGTCGACCAAAATTTTAACTCATTTCACAATGGGATTTATGGCTCCGGAAATCTCACTGATGCTAGCCAACAATACATGGGCAGCATAAATTTCTTAGTTCCTCTGAAATCATATTAAATCATATTTAGTGGTCATGAATTTTGAACATAGACTTTTCAAGCCTCAATCCATGTTTAATGTCCATCTTTGGGGGTCGTTTTGTAACCCTCCTTCCAGGCTATGGGCTGCATGAATAGTGCATCGGTTGCATCCTCAGACCTTGAAATGTTAGCTCTTGGCACTTGATATTGGAATGCCTCGAGTTTTGGAGTGTATCTTAGGGCATCTGAGGTTAAACTTTGGCCCATTTTAATGACATTTTGAGCACATTCTTTGACTCATCTTCCCTTTTGGATGACAGTTATGTGTCACGATGATATCCAAACTTATGATTTTTTCCCGAGAGGTCCTCTTTCATATATTATGAGGATCCTTGTGGCCTTTTTTATGGCCTTTAGTGGGTTCCAACAGTTCCAGTGCATATAGTACCACTACTTGTTTTATCAGTCAATCCTGTGTTTCTACAATTGGCGGGTTACTATTATTTGGATACCACTGTATCCCCTACCTTTTAAGACTTTGTTGGGTAATGTGAGCTATCAATGTCCATCTTGGGTTTTGTTCCAATGTTTTTGAGATAGGGTGACCATAGTGTAGTCTAGCCTTGTGCTCTAATTTAAGGTCATGTTGGAGGCACGTCTACAAAATGTCCATTTATGTTTTGTATATGGAGGTCATAATCAGTTTCACTCATTAGATGTCAAATTAGATGACTTGGGGTGAGTCACAAAGTTCGAGAATATTTTTTTGGAACTTTGTGTCTATTCAATAACACTCTTACATCCAACTATTTTGAAATTTAAGAGATAAGAATGATTGTGGCCCCGGTTCACAAGATAAATGGTCTCTTTATAAAAAATTCCCTGGATATACAAAATTACAACCAAACAAGTGAAACCAATGATTATATTAAGGGTTTAGTTTGTATAAGGTGGAGGCCCTAAACAATCAAGATAAGATGCAACTTGAAATAGCGTCGAAAGATATTATTTCAGTACTAAAAATGTTTGTGATGGTCTGAAATTTTATTTTCATTTCTCATTATAAAATTTAAAACTTAAAAAATAGTGTAGATCAAACAAATCTATAAACACTTGATAATCTTGAAAATTGACAGTCCAGAAAATGCATTACAAGAGATACTATTTTTAAGACTTGAAATCCATTTTTTATCATGTTCATACATCTTGATGTCGAGATGATTGATTTGGAGATTGTTGGGCATCGAAACAACCCCTTCTAGTGAATTTTTGGGGTGCGCCTTAATTTGATTGTTTGGGATCTCATCCTCATATAAAAAATTTCCTTATATTAATAGTTAAATTGGTAATACTAATTAGTACTAATAATATATATCGATGATTGAATAATACTATTTATATTGATAATTAAATAGAATATGCAAATGTACTAATATATTAAAATGTATGAATTATATTGACAACTAAACTAATACTAGTGATGACGTCTAGATAAGACGACCATTGAACCAATGAGAGATTTAGTCTAGTTGAGATTGGTTCGACCACAAGTCCAACCAATTGGATTGGATTTTAGAAAAATAAAAGAAAAATTATAAATAATAGTTTAAAAGTATAAAATCTATTTAAAAATTAACTTCATTAGGTCGGTCGATAGGTAGAAACTGATTGGTCCGACTAGCCAAACATTGGTTTTGATCGGTTTTTTACTAAACAGGGTTTTTGCTTTAGACCAACCAGCCAAATAACTAGTCGACAATCTGACCAGAGGGACCGACTGATCCGGTTTAGTCCTGATAACTATGATATATATTCAATATTTTTGTACATATACCTATTTTATTAATTATATGGTACTTATAATATAATGTTGATTGTATCGTGTTTACGTTATGATTCTGAATTATATTACTTAGGTTATACGCTGACATTACATAATTTGATTATATCAAAGATGCTATGAATAGAAGATGATATATTTTTATTGTCTTTTTCTTCTAAAGATGGAAGCAAAAGGAGAATCTTATGGATACGAGAGACATGATGGATGTCATCAAACAAAAGGAGACATCTTGACAGTTGCCTCGAGTTGAATTGTGGGTTTCAACGAATGTCATTCTAGAAATTATTTTCATATTGTATTATCAAAATTGAAAAGTCTTCAATTAATTGGGAAAATGTTATGACGATGATGACAATTATCAAAATTGAATAATCAAATATTGAAAAATAAAAAATAACCAATGACTTAGAGCAATTAGATGCTTTAAGTTGATAAATCCATTTGTTTAAGTAAACAACACCTAGCAAAAAGGTATTTCTACTTGAATTAGTGGATAAATCAACTTGAAGGATCCAATTGCTTCAGAAGCTACTAAAATTTTTTAATTTTTCATTGGATAATTTTTTCAGTTTTAATAATAATAACTGAAAATAATTTGAGCTAAGAATGCCATTGTCCTGCTCCCTTTTCTCCTCAAGATACAGTTTTAACATTAGAGAGAAACATACCTATACTCTAATATTTATACTATTTGTGTCTCAAACCTATGTCCTTGGAGATCCTTGTTATTGGGTCAATCCAAAACTTATATGAGATAGTTATTTGATATGAAATTATTTTGCCGCAGTTCTAAATTGTTGGCAACATTTTATGTAGTAAACTATTTGATATGTATATTGAATATATGGTTGAGATTGTTATTTGAGAATAAATTATTT